TTGCAGGAGTGTGCATTTCCAGTTTGGTGCTCTGGTCTTATTCTCTCTGTTCAGGCATTTCTAAGCGCCGAGCCGGAGCGCAGTGTGCAGTAAATGGCAGACAGCTTCCCGAGGCATGCTGGAACACGAAGGACGCTCTGAGGCTAAGCAATGACTGGAAGTTTTCTCCGACCTGTGTTGTCACTGGGATCATAATAGTGGAAGTATTCCCACAGAAGCCTCCAGGAATAGGAATTATTTATTGTCTGTACTGGACACAGGTCAAGATCATCTCAAGGAGCAGCCACTCCCCGTCTAACACAAAGACGTTTGAGAGGAAATCAAGTAAAGCAGAAACAAAATGAGTTTTATTCATAAAAGCAAACAATTAATTTTGTTAGAAAAAATGGAGCAATCGTGCCACAACTCTAAACTTTAATTTAAGAGTAACGCAAACTCAATGACCTATAAAGTAGCTTTAATCTATTCTAGTTGATCTGATGGTGATATATTATTTGTAAATGAACTGTCTTTGCAAAAGGTTTGCTGCTACCTGTAAAGCCGAATCATAAAAGTCAAGAATCTGTCAGCCACTGAAGTAAACCTTTTAATTGTTTTCATCAGAATATTACTTATGCACTGTAACGATGCATCATCATTAATAACAGTGTAATGCCCTTTAAAGCAATAAATCAGCCAACAGATGTGTTTTAATTTTACTCATGATACTTTCTGTTGATGTCTTTTTTCACTTTTTCACAGTAAGTGATCTCATGTCTCTCCTCCACACAAGCACAAAACATCTTGACATTTACTTTTTCTTCTTTAATTCAAACATTAAACACTTTAATATTTATTTTCATATATTTTCTACACATCAGCTGCAGGACCATTGCTGTAAAGTATTTACCTACCCAAAAAACCTACCACGGCTAGCATATTAAATAATAAAATCCAAATAAAAGTGAGTAATCGTCTCATCATCTTTCACCACATTAAATTGATGTCTGACAGTTTTTATCTCTGGACACAGAGATACACGCAGAGTTTAGACAAAGTGGATACAATTTACCTAAAGAGCAGCAAGTTTGTTTAATTTGAGCAATGCTTCAAACTGAATGTTCATTGCTTGATTTAAAGTTAAAATCAGCTTAAAAAGAGTTCGGCTCAGCTGGGAGATATATCTGATCTCATGACTCCACCCTGTGGATGAAAAGCAGATATCACTTTATAAACAGTCTGAGCGACTTTTGTAACAATGCTTCTTGGTAATACATTTTTTACTGTTTATTTCCACTTAAATATGCCCTCATATTTTTATATCGAACATCTAATCTGCACGATTTCCCAGATCCGGTAACCATCAGCGCTGATAAATGCAGTAACGCAGATGCAATAATTACGTATATCCACTCTAAACCTAGCATTATGGCCAGCAGCTGTACTGTGTGTAGTGATAAATTATCTGCTATTCTCTTCTTAATAGTTACTCCAAGTCATGGGACGAACATTGCAGTACTACTGTGCCCGGACCCTGAATCTTTGGACTCATCGGTGAGTATTAAGTCTGCATAAAGCTTCTCCAAGTAATTCTTTGCTATATACTAAGCAAGTGATGGGACTTTTCTTTTATTGCCTTTTGTATGTATAAGTCTACAGATGGCATAACAAACACCTAGATAACTAAAGGACTGTCGGGCAGTTCTTTATATTATGTAAGCCAAGATGTTTTCTATTTGAAACACACACAAAGTTGGTTCTGTGAGTTTCCAGCAATCTTGCAAGATGGCCTTTGCAGGGTGGGTGTCACTATGCCCCGTTCATTGACCCAATATGTAAACATAGCTTTAAGTGTGCATTGAAATGTGTGTGTGTAGTGTGTCACTGGTGAGTCTTTTACATGGATTGCAGTAATTAATAATTATAATGAATAATTATTACCTCCTGCTCTCCCATCCAAGACTGTGACTGACTCAGTCTGATCATGCTGTCCTGGTTCGACTCCACCATCTGTTCGAGGCCTTTCTGTGTGGTGTTTGCACGTTTCCTCCTGTGCTGGCTTATTGCAGTCGAAATCAGTTGGGTAAGGGTAACTGGTAATTCTAAAATGCGCACTGGTGTGAGTGCGAACGGTTGTTTGTGTTAGGCTTGCGACAGTTTGATGATTTGTGCAGGTGGGTGGATTATGTATTATATTTAGTGTTCAGATTATCAACATAAAAAACAAAGGAAAACAAAAACGCTAATATGAATATCCCCAAATCAGATAACTGAGAAAAAGTATTTATTTCCTTTCTTGGTCTGTATGGGATGCAATGCTCTTTTGGGACACTAGAGGGCAGTATCGTCGTTCTCCCCGTGTTTCTGAGCGCGATAATCATCCAAGGTACACTAACCTGTCTTTTTTTCTTCTTCTTCTTCTGTTTTTGGAGGGGTGGGTGGTCATTCGGATTAATGTGGTGGTGAAGAACATTTAATTAGTAATCAGTAAAATTTAACTCTAAAAAGTGTAAGAATTTGACGCTTTTTCTAGTTTGTACCCCAGAAGAACATAATTAAAGTGTCCCCAACCTAGCAAAATGAATAC